AGCAGGAATTTTATTATCCTCCCTTCTCTGAACATAATGAGCTCAGCTCACACTGGGTCACAATGAATGAGAAATGTTTAGCAACATTTCTTGCTGCCAAAACAACCGTCTGACTTCAAGTAAAGTTACCACTGTGATAAAAATTCAGCCTGAATTCCAAGCTATGCCCTGGACTGATTTTATTTTTGGATCTGAAAAGAAACCCATTAAAACTTCCTTCCAGAATAACCTGCTAGCTCAATATTTGGTGGGGAAAAAAAAGTTTACTTAAGAGCATTTTAATATATTAGTACATAATGGGAAGGGACAACCATGACAACAAGTTTTCGCTTCGGCTTTTTTGACAATACATCCAGGCAGAAAAAAATTACTCATGTGGTTTACAAGAAAAATATCCATGTTTAATCAAATTAAGTACCAGTTGACCTTTTAAGCAAGACTTCCTGTTGCTGTTTGAAGCACTGTTGAAGATACCTTCCAAAAACATCAACGGGCTTTTATTTCTTTCTTCTTTGTTTATTTACCTCTATAGGTGTTGTTTCAGGGATCTCACGGAGAATGATAATACATCGTTTGTGGTTTGGTCTGACTTTTTCTCCTCTCTCATCCACTTGTACCATAGGAGAAGCTAAAATTAAAATACAAAAATTGGCTTAATATTGGACATTGTGCACTGCAAAACATCTCAGCAGTACTAGACTCCATTATCCAACTTGCAACAAAGAACTGCGAAAGACTGCTTAAGAAACCAGATTTCTTGAATTCAGAGTAAAGGACTGTTTTATCAGCTGTAGTCTGTTATATCTTCAGTACATTTTAGCTGTTTGTCTGGTGTTGCCTCTACCTACAGCTCAGGTATCTAAAGAGCTCAGTCCCAAATTCAATTCATTCCCCACTCAAATTCAAGTAAGAGGATACAAAAACATTCCTAGACAGAGCCCTAATAGCAAAAGTTCAAATAAGAGTAGGGAAATCAAGTCAGAATAAAGACTTAAAAGTTCACTTAAAACTGTTCGCAAAAGAAGCCATGTGCAGAATCAGCACAGGACAGGATGTCAGAAGAATTCTAGTGAACTTTTTCTAATAAGCTTCTTCTAGTTTTATCATTTCTAGTAAACTTCAGCACTGAATCAGAAGACTAGGTTTACTCCCAGAATAAAGACTGCTAACAGCATCTTAGAGTGGCCTCTTACTGCGGCAGATTCAGGCAGTTTATTATAAAGCATAACTAAAATTCAGGAGTCTGGAACAGCCACTTATTCAAACATGTCTGCAGAACAAGGTTCCCGTCACCATTTACCAGAACAGTATGCCATAACCAGCTAAGAGACTAATACATTTCTCTAGAGCAAGGAAGAATAATTTGTTCTACTAATACAGACACCACACACCCAGACTTACATCTCAAAACTTCAAGAATAAGGTCCATATCAGTTGTCAGCTTCTTAATACCTTCCATGTTGGCAATAGTCCATATTGGAACAAACTGATCACTATCCATTTGAGACATCAAGTAGAGATCCTTTGAAAGATTCTCACTAAAAAGACATAAGTTCACTATTTTATAAAAATCCTGAACTTTACTTAGGGAAGTCTCAAAACAACAGGATAGCTGCAGGCTTAAATATTCACCACTACCATTCACAGCTAACTCTAGCCAAAATATACTCAGATTTTCTCTCCTGAAAAAAATCCTAGCAGACCAACACAAAGCGGAATAAGAAAATTAAAAGACTTAATGAAAGTTACAGTGTTCATACATATAGGTCTGCAAAAAGGATCTTGCCAAAGAGACCTCTTCCAGTAATACACAGCTAAATTATCTCAGCATCTTACGACTGTGATGCACAGAAGTCATACTCAATTCTCACAAGGATGCAGACACCACCGAAACAGCTCTACCACAGGGTTTCTACAGCATTTTAGCAAATCTTGTTTCATATCGCAACCAACTCTCTCTCTCTGTTAACATTTATGAAGATGATAGCACATATCAAGCCAAAAAAGCGAAACATTTGTCAACGATTTTAATAAAGCGTTTCTACAAAGTTGAGTGTACTGTACCGTGAGAAACAGAATTCAAGTTGTTTCTTCAAACATTCTCTAATGTCTTCTGTGGACACAGTGGAGCTGCCTTCACCTAAAAGTTACCACATTCACCATCAGATCTGTTTCATGGTAAGAACACAATGCAAGAACACGTTTTCTTCTGGGTAAGACCAAGAAGAAAAGGTCATCTGAGACATGCTTAAAGAACACCATAGTACACATTCTCAAAATTACTTTGATCCCATGGTTTTCACTTACTTGGCCAAGTGCTACGGCTGGCTTGAATCTTCTTAAATATGCATGGAACATTTCAAAGTTCCTACTCAGTCACACTATAACTGCAGCAGACTCCAGAGGATTACAGATACTGACAGTGGTATTCTAACTTGAATACTCACCAGACACTTCATAGATTTGGTATCCAAGATCTTCAGTTGCTAGGACAATTCCATTTGCAGATGCTTCATCAACTCCTGTGCCATTTCTTGTGGCTTCACAAGATGGGGAATACATCACTTCATATTGCTTGCAGCTGTCCTCTGAAATCTCTATGTTACCTGGCAAAAGAACACATCATCAACAGAAGGCCTACTATGAGCTTCAGAATGTTTTCCGTTTGAAAAATCTTGGCTACCATCATTAAAAGAAATACTGGAGAATGCTGTAACTGAAAGTGTCTACACCCAGTCTGTGTTTCTTAGACTTTCAGAGTCTACTTTGTATTGGATAGCACTTTCTACCTCTCCAATTTTAGAAAGATCTTATTATTCGCACTAAGGTCTCAGGGATAAGTAAATAATACGATCATGAAACTGCAAGATCCCCAAAAGCAGCAGATGATCTAAAAAGCAGTCTTTCCACCTGAAATTTAAAATATTTAAACAAGTTTCCTAAAACCAAAGCACTTAAAATTGCTTACATCACTTCCACATATTACATGATTCTTATTTACATGAAGGGCTCAGAAGCATCTGTGACTGTTATAACAATCACAGCTGAATGACATTGAAATGGGCCAATTTCTTGTGCAGGACACCTCAGCTGAGTCTCCACCACATCTGCTTGAGATAGAAACAAGCACAATTTCAGTTTAACCCAGGAGTCAGGCAAAGGTGACTGTTCCAAAAAAAAAAAAAAAAAAAAAATCAATTGCTCTGCTGCTAGACCTTTTCCACACTATGTTGAGTCCACTAAAAACCTACTTTGAGAAGAGATCCTAGTCAACTGCTTACATTAGAAATTGCTTAAAAGCAACAACATATTTGAAAAAATTGCCTTTTGTTATGAAGAGACAAATGAGTTTGTCAGACAATGCACAAACTCAGTATTCTCTCTTCACTTCTGCTGACTTACCAGAAACTTTTGACAGCGCCACACAAACTCAATCCTCCCTTCTTTATCCCTAACTTTTCCTAAACCTTTTTCCCAGGAATCTTCTGCTTCCTAATTAATATGTCTCTGCCATATTTTGAGTAACCTCAGCTATACAATTGGTTTCATATAAGTCTAAGCCAAAGCAGAAAAGATAAACCATTTGCATATTTAGTTCTGCACAACAGGACTGACCACATGGTACAGATGGAAAATTTGGACTGAAATGGAACACAGACTAAACTGGAAGGAGCCAACCATAGATGCTTGGCAGTTTCTACTCCAGTACAAATGCTATTGTCTAACAGTTCTCAGCAGCACCTTGGTGATCTACCAGGATTGTAGGTGGCCCTCAGACCTCATCTTCCTGTTCACAGGGTCAAGTATATACTAAAGTGCAGCCATGTACCCATTTCTACACATTTAGCATCTTGCTTCCCTCTTAGCGCGTTACTCAGTCATCACCGGGCCCCTTGGATCCTGTTACCTGTTGAAGTATTCTGTCCTAGCGCAACTCTGGACACCTTCTTGAACCCGTAAACAAAAGCTCACCGGTCAGACTTCCGATCTCTATAAACTGCCTACTGCTTTCTCATGTTCATTTCATACTTCTTGCTACATCGGCTCTAACAACCTCAAGGACAAGAGCAAGAGGTTGCTTCTCACTGATTAACTCTTAGAGGGAACCCTCAGCGCTACCTAGCATGGGACGTATCATGGCTAGTGTTGAAACATGGGCCCGCGACATCTCACCCTCGGTATGAGTCCCTTGTGCAGCCGCTGTTTCTTGCCATGAGTGCTCTGCGCCATTTGTTGGCGGCACAGCCTCACCACTGCCTTGGGGTGCTTCTTGCCACACTTTTGCATTAGGGTTTAAGCCAGCACCTTTCGATGTTACCTGCTGAAGAGACCACAACACTTTTATTAGGAAAAATAATGCAAAGATGCTTTAGAAGTCAAGCCAGACAATATAGATGAATTTAGTGATTTTCTATAGAATTCCGCATCTCAAGTGTCTAACCAGCTATTAAGCACCTATGTGATTTTTCATTAATCAAAACAGGAAAATCCTTGGTATTTTGCAAGTATTTCGTTTCTACCTCCATTAGAAGTGTTGCCTTCAACCTCTCTTTATTGACATCCGACAACATCAGCAGAGGAAGCGGCTAGCCGTCAAGGACTCTGGTAACTCACAAGCTTTTAAAGACTTGACTGCCATAATGTTCCAGTCCCCTTTCACCAGAAAGGGAAATTTTCCCTCCTCCAGACCCCTTCCTAGAAAGGAAGGTAAAAAAAACATATTTCAAGGAGAAGAAACTAATGACTTGCTGAATTAGTGACATCTATACTAACCACGCATCACCTACGCTATGCCAGGATTCCTCATGAACTTACCTGAGTACTACCTGATTTCCCCATGAGTTTACCTACTTCAATGTATGCTAGTAATTTCCTTAAACTATGCTTTTGCAAAAATTCTCCACCCAAGAACTTCTAGCACCTTACAAGCAACTAATACAGCTTCGTCCAAACAGGTTCCTTCAGACACTGAAGGACAGTCCACTTCACTCACACCATTTGCTTGAATTTAAAAGGCAAAATCCATTAACCCTAGCTCGTATCTCACAAATTCACAAATAAGGAAGTTTGATATTTCAGAGGTCAGCCTCCTGGATTCTGAAATTAAGGAGTGGCTTACTACCAGGCCTCAAACATAATGCAAAAGGATAAGGAAGCAGTTGCAATAGCTTTAGAGATAATTCTTCCGCCAAGGTCACACCTAGTTCCAAAGCTATTTGCTACAAGGACAAGCCCAAATTCAATAACAAGAAGCCTCTAAACACTGGAGAGATTCAAGACAATCACGAGACAAGGCAAAAAAAAGTTCACAATTTTTGCAAGGCCCTCTGAGGTTCAAAATCCCCCACGCACAACTGATTTAATCCATAGAGCAATGGCGTTTTCCCCTCTTTAGTTAATCTTAGCAGAATATAGCTGGAACAGAAAGTAGAACAAAAAATAATTTCAGCGTGAAAGGACACGTGTACATTCCCCTTATTAGTTTTCAGAGGAGCTGTTCTCCAACAAAACAACCTTAGAAGAAAACCCCAGTAACCTGTTGCACCCACATACTCCCACTGTCAGTACAGTTCAGCCAGTTCAAAACTGAACGCTGCTCAACTGCTGGTCACTCCTGTGACGCAGCGTACCTGTCAGCATGGGCACCTGCCCGAGAACTGCAAACCAGCAGATCCCATTTCCTTGAATTTAATTTTCATCACAGCAAAAAAGAGACATGTCCAGGAGATTATTCATTATTTTATAAAAATAAACACTGCCTCACTACCTTACGTCTTTGGCATCAGCATTTAGCTCAGTCTGAAAGTAATTGTAAGGCATAAGTATGATAAAGTGAAACTGAAAAATTTTAGGGAGATTACTACACTTCTAAAGGTGATCAGTAGTAAAAAGCAACTCTAAGTGTGGCAGATGATGTTACTCACTTTAGCCAATACCAAAAGACACATGTGGTAGTAAGTTCAGAAATCACAAGTCCAAATGAAAAGTGCCAAGAACCTAAATAGATTCAGGCCGATAAGATGATGACCGGACCTATTAATACAACAGCTGAAAAATACACCTGAAACAGAGCGTGGGCTACTTCCTCTTTGTTCTAGAAACACTTAATGACATGTCATGCAATTCTGCAAGACCCAGCCCTGATGTCATGCATCTTAATAGCAAGACACCATGGACTCCAGGAGGACAAAAAGTCCCTAATTTACATAAGCTTTTTGAAAATACAGTCTGCTGTGCTCCAGGAGCAGTGCCACTCCATTCTGGCAAGCGGCTCTTCTGAAGAGAAAGCCAAAATATCAATTCTTGCTTATTTAACTGAGGCTAACAAATACCAAACCCATTCCATTGGCTGCAGAACAATCCTCCCAGCTGCTATCGGGAACTTTCATGATGAGGTTAAAGCTTTACAGAGTTACAAAGGTTAGGAACACTCGCTAGTATCCATGAGCTGACAAAGCTGTCTTCCTCAGCAGTTTCCCTCTAGTTCACATTACTTTTGGGAAGTGTGGATCAAAGATTCTCCTCCAGCAATTCCTCAAGATTGACTATCAATCTCATTTTGAAAGGACGGTAAAAAATATTTTCCTTATTTTAACAGTCTAAATTACATTTAACAGATTCAGTTAAGACAATGAATGAAAGTACTCAGAGTTTCTTTTAAAGCATTCTATTTTAATAGTAATTCAAATTATCCTGCAACCAAAATCTTAACACTGAGCTTGTGATAGATTTCCCCAAGCAGACTGACTCTCTAGAGAGGAATCTAAGTGAAAAATCTAAAAAGGAATTTAATAAAACTTGTGAGGCCAGAATATAAATGTTTTCCAGAAGTGGAAGTGTAAGCAGAAGGAAAAAAAAAACAAGGTCAGCAAACCTATGGCAGGTTAGCAAAGAGAAGCCTTGTGCTGGCTGGGGGACATGACAGGTAGGGAAATACGCATCTGCAGTGGACTCGGACACATGCCAGTGTAGTTACCTGCCACCTTTTCAAAGCTTATCCAGGCTGTGAAGCAAACCAAAAAAAGAGAGAAAGCCAGTGTCAAACCAAAAGCCACACACAGAACTTCTTTGGAACTGACTGCAGGATATCACATAAGAACAGTTCAGTACTCTGAACATCCCAGGTGACTCTTAAAACACACATTAGCTTTCATGGTCACAAGAGTTACTTCCACTGAATTTATCATGTTTTGTTCATTAGCCAGCACAGGCACCCCAGAACTAGGGGTGCCTCCTTTACCCCTCAGTAAAGCAAACGCACAGCTGTGCCGTATCAAGATGGCACCACCCTCACCTGTGTCAATGGTGTCCATCACTGCTGTGTGAACAGGGACAATCTGGGGGGTTTGCCACCTAGAGGGAAGCAGGAAGCCTCACCTGCTAAAAAAGAGGGCCAGCAATACTCAGTGCTTTATACAGTCCTGGTTTTCTAGGTAGGAAACATCACTGGCAACAATTAGGGCAGCGTTTCACCCACCTGAAGTGCACAGATTTCAATTTTCCCAATAAATTACTAATTCTGAATTAGGAACACATACCCCACCGACCAAAACCCAAAACAGGCACAGCAAGCCATTATCAATTGCACTTTTCACAATGCATTTAATATTCCCAATGCACCTTAATTGTTGATCACTAACAGAGCATGCTGGTCCTGGCTGCAAGTGAAAAACAAGACTTACACCAAACATTAATGCATGAAAAATAACATGAGCCTTATTCCATTCCCTCACTGCAACAAGTTTTTTGAGCTAAAAAGATATTAAAGCAAAACAGAATTCCACTATGCACACTGTGAAGGACTCAATTCACAATCACCATGTGCACACCGTTAAGTGTAAAATATAACACCGATAGATAAAAAAAGTCAGCCAGTCCCCCCAAGAGCTTCAGTACTTCTAACACAATCCAGCTCTGTACCTTATTTTGCAGGCAACCCCAAAGATCCTGAGATAAAACCTGCTGTCTGCTTTCAAGCATCCGACCACAGCATTTCAGAACACCTGGTCAAGAGCTCAAGTTCCCTGTCCTGGCAGTGAAAAGCCACCTTCAGAAAGTCTGGATTGTCCTCAGAAACTCAAAATTACACATCATTGATGCTTCCTGAATGCAGATCACAGAAACTAACTTGCAACACTACTGGTGGAAGAGAAAGGAGGAGATCAAACAAAGCTACTAAAGTAAATCAACTTTGTGCTTTAAAAGGATTCACTAAACACCCAGACACATGCTGCCTGGCTTCGCAGGCTCCTGATTTACTTCAGCTCCCTTTGACCAGCCCGAGCCCCATCCACAACACAATCACTCTGTGTCACCGCTACAGGTTCCAGAACCTGCCTCGCATACCCGCTGCTCAGAGGGGCCACCTCCGTCTCGCAGGCTCAGCTCCTCTCCGCCGTGCTCAGCCTCGGATGAGGTTAGCTGCTCGCAGCTCCTGGCTGCAGTCATCTGACTGCAGCTCTGATTAGCTTGAACAGCACCTCTTCAAGTTAAATACTGTAAAACCAAATTCTTAAGACCTGTCATTCTGTGTCCATGACATCTTGCCCCCCCACCCCTCAGTGCAAGTAACATTCAGTTCAGAACTGAGGCAACTAGTTTAAGACAGAAAAGGTATTTTCCAAACCCTTTTATTCAGGTGTTCTTAACTGTGGAATATATCTTGGTATTCATGTAGAAGACCACGACCACCACATATGAACCAGATATACCATTAGCAATCAACTGGCTTCCCTCCGTTATTTCTTTATTAAACCAGCAGCTGTTTGCTTTGTGCACTTTTTGGACAAAACTTACTGCAAAGTTTAACGAAGCAGTGCAGTCGCCTGGGTTTGTCCAGCAAATGCTGAAACTGCTTCACCATACTCCGTGAACGCTGTAAATAAGTGAAGCACCGGCATGGGGGGGCAGCGGCTGCGGACCCAAGCCCGGGCCAGCACGCTG